TAAAAGTTGTGCTTGCAGTTATTTTGCCAAAAGATTATTGCTAAATGTACTGTCTTTTAATTCTCAATAATCTTTTTCATTTTCAGTTCTCGGATAAGAAACTATGTGAGGAATATTTATTCTCGACTATCTTTGTTGTCTTGGTAAAAATAGTGATATCACAGTAAACAAATAAATGACGTCATCAGTAAACAAAGTCTTTACAACAGTTGATCCGTCAATTGTAGTATGTTAAAGGTGTATGCGAAAATCATCATCACGTTGTCATTGCAGAAGACACTCAAACAAAGAAAGTTTGTTGTCATATTCAGTTAATGATCCCATCACAGTAAACTATAATGTAAATGTGATTGGTTGAGATGCTAAAGACTAGTGTGACGTGAAAGTCACGACAACTGGCATGCCGTTATCTACTTCAAGATGGCGACACAATGCATCTGCTGACTTCACGAATAAAAATGATAGCTTGCTCTCTATCTGCAGGGAGAATGGCTAAAATTCCGTCATGAAATCGAATGCAAACGATAATATTGAAAAGCTACTTGAATCGTTGAAAGGGCTTACATTACGTGAAAAATTAATTTCTTTTTACAGTATTCGGTAGCCTTTGTTTTAAATAATGCAGTATTACTGCTGTTCTCTCTTAATTATAGCTCGACTCTATATGCAGTCGATGATGAAAACACCAATTGCTCATAAAATGTTATCATTGAAGGAAAGTTTGAATTCACGCAGCAATGTAACACTAAACACCAGTATCGTAACATCATTTCGGTACAACCTTGAACGGAATAGAACAGCTCCCTGACATTCCGATAGACATATCACAAGGGGCCTCCACATCGTCACCTAGCTGTACGCATCTCCGATAACCCCGTCACACAGGATTGTCTGGATTTGTATATTTGACAAGAGCTTAGTAAAACACTGTATTCCCAACATCGATCTCATTTCTAACCTTTTAATGCCAAGGCCTTCTCTAACGCTAATTTAACACTGATGTGTATTTCCCACAGAGTGATGGAGTCATACGCAGTTGCTTTAAAGCTCATTACTCACCAAATATTAGATTTCACGCAGCTAAAAAGGCGTACACACAGTAACCTACACTCACTAACTTACACACAAGATATTAGATTTTGAACATTTTGATGAAGTCATGCATAGCTTATTAACCAAAAGATTCACTTGTTATTGAATTTTCCTCAATTTAACGAAGATACATACATTGCCGTACGCACACCTCTCGCGAGATATTAGATTTTGCAAAGGTTCACGTCAGCATGCACTGTTCTTTACCGATACTACTCAAAATATGTTAGACTTTCAAAGTTTCACGGATGCATGCAAAGGTCTTCACCGATACTACTTTATACGTGTTAGATTTTGTAAAGTTCATGTTAGCATGCATAGCTCTTTACCGAAACTACTCAAAATATGCTTGAACTTGCAAAATTTCACGGAAGCATGTATAGTTCCTTTCTGATACTACTAAACGTCTGCTCTAAATCCCCTCACATTCCTACCTTACCTGATATTATCTTGGATACCTACAGCAGTAATATGACATCAATTATAATGTAATGTTTTTCTACATCGACGCCAATATAATTGCATGGTCTCATTTGTTCTTTTTAAGTGATAATGTCTCTATTATCAAGTTAACCTTCCATGATGTAATCTGTTTAATATCATGCTCTATTCATGGTTACTATATTTAACCAATGTCAATAGCGTGTATAACAAGCACGTGAATTGTTTGTCCCGTTTCAATTGCTTTTTAATTGAAATGTTTGAAGTGTCGTAAATGAAGGTCGTCTAAACTGTGTCTGATGTTGATGATCAGGAAAACTTCACAGGGGCCACTGAACGACAGAGCCAATTTCGTGACAGCAGCCATCAGCTTATTTTTTGAAGAGACTTTATCAAAACAATTTGTATGATTATCTCATTCCTTTTTTTGTATTTTCCACTTCATGTGGTAATTATCGTTATTTACATTTGCGTTCATGCATGACTTCCTCTCCTTTCCTGCTATATCGGTAGGTTAATTGATAAGAAGCTAACTGTATAGTGTCGCTTCACTCTAAAGAGGGTTGGTAATTTATTTGATATACTGATATCAAGTAGGACAATGATGATCTAGTTTTTTTTCCAAAATAATCCATCCATATTCCGCTACCTTAATCATGAATATACTAATTCGTTTGACTCTTGGACAATTAAACATTAAAACATATTAAAGAGATAAAGTGATAAGAGATGAGGAAGTGGGTGGTTAAAGTTATATATATCACTGTCGTTATACTCAGGCAAAGTTTAAAGTCAAACTCAATATGAATTAACAGCAAACCCAATATTAATTTTAATTGAAGTCGAGAAAAATGATTTTATTCAGTTTACCGATTTAACAATCTTGAAACAATGATTGATAACAGAGAATTAATGCATAAATCGATGAAATAAAGTTATTTCAATTAAACAAATTAGAATAACAATGAAATGTCATGGATTCTAAATACAGGAAGATATGATGATCTATCGAATGACACTTGAATAAAGCCTATGCACACGAGAATTCTAAAACTAAGATCAAAATCAGACATTTCAGACTAAAGCACCGCCTTACGACCCTGATGGAACAATGTAAGCGATTCAAAAGATGGTGTGAATGACAACAATTTCATTTATCTTAATCGATTTGAAATTTTCCATCAAGTTAAGGGGAATTGTTTCAAAGGTTTTAATCGACACAAGTGTAAAATTAATTAAGATTTATCTTAAGGAATTCTTTTTCAAAATCATTTTTAATTTATTACAAATATATATTCTGCAATATAACAATGTTTTTTAATAATTTCATTATATTTGTTTCTTATATATATACTTGACCTGTGACTTATAATATATCCTATATTCTACACACCTACTGTATAATGTCTTTGTTTCACGCAGGTAGTCACGAAATTGGTACATTTGTATTAGCTCTAGACTAATTCTTTGTGAAAATGCCAGGTCTTTCGGAACATATCATCAAAAGCCATATGTTATGCATTCAGAATGAACCCCAATTGAACACCTTGACATTTACACACGTATAACAGCACGTGGAAAACAAATAAGACAATCCTTATAGCACTTTGAATAGTTATTGGAAAGGGTATTTTGCTCATGATAATGTAATTTCAATAGACATATATTTAAACTAATATCTGAAGAGCAATAAAAGCTTCATATGCTCGTAAAAAAACCCGTCATTGCTTAAAATCGCCCAAGGTTGTCTGACAATAAACTATTCAAAGGACATACGTTTCCCGTTACCGATCAAACGGAAATTGGACATAGCGTTTAGCAGCTGAGCTCGGCTATTATCGGCACTTCTATTGCAAATATTCAAAATAGCTAGAATCAAATTGAGAAAATGTCTCGAAATCTTTCAATCATAGACTTGTTTGGAATGACTTTCCATCGGATATACTTCTAATGAGATATAACGTAAAGTCTTGCATTCCATTGCTCCTTGTAAAACCATGAATTTTATTTAGACTTATTGCATAGATATGTAGACGAGAGTACGGAAATTTACAAATCTGAACCTATTTTGCATCTCAAACCCGACTTCCAGACATACATATTTTTGTATAATCAGTTTTCACTTCAAGACGTATTTGAATTAAATTGCGTTACATCTTTATATTCAGCAAGACGTAACGTCATTCTATGGTGACCTGTAGCTGTTCATCAAACATGCAATCCCTAGTAATATGGTAAAATTTACAATGTCCCTGTCTCCTGTGAAATTTGTAGCCTCTGTTTATGTACATTTTCATAGACAAATGGAGACACAAACTTGCATGTACCCGATTACTCGTTGCCATCAGTTCTATGAAGGGAACTTCATGAATAATGCTAAACATGAGATTTCAGAGATATTGATGGAATGAGCGATTTTTACAGAGGCCATCAGCGAGTACAAAGAGAATATAAGGGTGGGAAATAAAATTGTCTAAGAATGAAACACCTCATTAGGAAGTCCGTATTATTGATATGATTACCAGTAGGTAGATACTATCTTAACTGTTCATCAACACACAAGTTATACATTTATCAAACGTAGGTAAACATTATACCAAATCTAAGTAAACAGTTCAATTCTAGAGATACCAATGCGTATGCGACGGTCAAAATGCTAGAAGAAACTATACAACTGCCTTGCTGTAGTGTGTTGGCTTTTAAGTTATATATTTTTCTTTTCACATATCGTTATGTTGAAGCAGTGTCAAGTTTTTTCGAGTTAAAATACATATTTGATCGATTTATGCGTTGAAACTTCGTTATATATGTTTCTATTCGCACATGTAAAGGTTATGTCGCGTTATGTCGAGGTAACACACAAAGCAGTTGAGATATCCGTGATTGGTAAGTTCAATTAGTGTGTTGGTGTTACGGTTCATACCTTTCTATTCACACTTCGTTATGTCGGAGTTATGTCCAGGTAAATTACAAAGCAGATGAGATGCTCATGATTGTAAAATTGATCGACTTAATTTACTTAGCAGATTTTATGTCATATAACAATTAACTATTGGAATGCATTTTGCATACTACTAAATATATCTCGACAACAGCGGGGTTTTCCATATATCCTAGTTCAAATACTATCTAACATCGAGACAAAAGTGACATTCGATATATTTAAAACTGTAATAACGACGACATCACTACTGGATTGCTTTGCGTTAAGTCTTCTATGTGTATGTATATAGTTTAACTGATAATGTATCAAATAGTCAAACGTATACAATACAAATCAATGATACTTCTATAGCCATACATAAGTTGACTCTGCGTTATAGAATTCAAATTGTCGAATGTCACAAACAAACTTTAAAAAAAATCATTAAGTCTAACCACAATACATCAAAAAAGATATATAAACAATATTCAAGTACTCAACGCTTCGTTAAAGTATATGCAGAACCAATATATAATCGTCTTACCTGTATTCGGCCTCAGCTCTCTGACATTGGGGCTATCGTGCTCAAGTTAACAGACTATCCACGTGTTGGTAAATTAACGGTTGTTACGTTCTAGTCACACTTTGGCCTGCTCGCCAGCACCAAACCTTGCTCTGTCAGCCTCCTCTGGGGAAGTGCAACCCTACACAGCTGTGCTGAGCTTATACGGCTCATCGAGGTGCTGGCTTTAATAAGGATTCACAGGTCGATCAATGACAACTACCAGCGCTACCAATTCTGTCAAAACTTTTTCTCTATCACAAACTAACTCTGAATCAATGAGGTATGTTCGGCTAGCCCAGATTCAACTTTGCCTTTACAGATAGCGTGAAGAGACTATGTAGTATATGATAGATAAACTTGATTTATAGTTATTTTTATCACGCCAAAAATGACCGTGAATCGGATTTTTCTGTGATTATAGAATGTCAGATTGATCATTTGAAATGGAATTCCAATAGTCGCGGTTTTTTTCTATCTTTTATTTTTCATCTCACATTTAATGATTCTGTTCCTAAGCCAGACCCGCTGTGTGTTATGAGCTTGTTGCTATGACATATCGGTACTCCCTGGTTATATGCTCTACACTATTAAAGTATCCATTCAACTTCTTGTAATATGTACAATGTAGCTGAACACTTTCTTTGTTTGACAAATTCAGTTGAAGATGGATGTCCTCATATTTTCTGTTGACAGAGATAAATCAACTTGGTTATAATTTTTTAAGAAAGAGAGATCTTTTGAACTTTCCATTTGTATTACCTGTAAACACCATTATAAGATAAGCGGTGCAATATCAACATATTTTTTGACATAGGATTGGCTCAAGACAAGTCACTGTCATAAAGGTAATATTATTTAGTACCAACTCTTACACTATTGGTGCGGTGTATTCAATTTAAAGAAAGGTAATTTATGGTTTTTATACGTTTGTATTAACTCTGCTTCTCGAGGCAAAGGTAAACCCTACTGCGCTTTTATTTAAAAGTCGACATGCCTTTCAGTAGATATGTAGGAAAAAGGGATGACTCAGGTAAGCTCACATGTTTTTGGGACGGGATTTTGAAGCATTGGTTGAAAATTCACATCGTACTGTGAATATTTTATTTGGTCGAATTTCAATGCAAATAACAAGGAGAAACATATAATATGTGTAATAATATACCAAAGATAATCAGGAGCCTTATTTCAAGTATGCATAACCTGTACAGTTTTAAAACCTATCCAGTCTTACTATACAACGTCATTTAAAGAAGTTACATAAAATACTTTCACAACCTTTGGATGATAAAATCTATTGTGTTGATTTTCAAAATTTTCATTTTATCATAATCATTATTTTTCATTTTGATTTTATTTAATCTGTTGCGTGTCATCAAAACAAGACATACGTACTGGTAACTTATATTACTGCACATATTAATGCAGTGATTTGATACCATAGGCTTGCAAGGAATGCAATCAATTATCAATTTTCGTCACTATGGTTACCAGTATACCTGCTGTATTGCATTTGGCACCTGAAATTCCTGGAGACTGTCACGCATGAATTAATATATGTAAAAGACATTAGTAGCGAGCAACCATAACGATTAGTACGCATTCAAGCGGAATACGTTGGAAGGATATGATCTTTGTTTCTAAGAAAGATGTTGACAGCCCTCGGTATCAATTATAACGAGTAAAGAACAATAAAGCGTAAAACTTCCTGTATTTTAAGATGCTGACAGACCTCAGTATAAATTTTATGCAAAATGCTGCAGCTCATTAATCGTAATATATACTATAATCAATGCTTATTGTTACAAATAAATCTTTAGATATATGTTTAAGTCTGATGTCAGTATAAAGATTTTAATTAGAATAACGTGACGCATGATTGTTATTTTTACAGTTGACTAGTATTCATATGTAGATTGTTCCATATGGTAACCATGCTTCTTGGTGGTTTTATACTAGTAAAACAAAAATGTTACTCGAATCATTCTTTTTTATTTTAATCATTACACTTGTTGATCGTTCGTGTTATAACTACAGCATAATCACCTGGTTCATTTCGAGAAATATGTTCCGCTCTTGAGAATATAGTTAAAATTATATCTCATTAATTGCAACTGCCTTGTATGCCTTTTTTTTTAAATTTAATGCGACTATGTCTTTGGTGTTGACACTATGGTATATTTTTGTCTATCTTAAAAACTAGATTTTCAATCACAATGAACAAGGATTGTCCGTGTTGACATTTTCTATACAAAAATAGACTTAACTTGACAACATTGATCATAATGATAACTGTAGGATGCCCACCTGGTGTGTATATGTTTTTTGCATGTACACACATTGCATGATCACAGGAGATGATATACAATGCCATAAATCCATATTACTTATTGATGATTGAGTAAGAACATACGAGAACCTCTGCCCGTGCGAGGAAGTGTCACTCGGTACACAACAGCAGTAGATAGGTGTGTGCCATCTCGTCAGGCAGACAGAGCCCCAGGTGGAACTAAGGCTATCAAGTGGCATATTATCACCTTCCTCATGTTTGCAATTGCTCGCCTAAGTGACCTTCAGGCTTCCAAAAATATATGCTTTAGTAATATGGAACATTTTATTGTCTAGGTCAATGTGTTTACCTCTTCTTGCTATATTTTCAAAGATGTGTAAAAAAAAAAAAAATCAAAAATAATTTTCCTGAAATGATACGATCAATAGTGATATATTTGATGTTTGTTCTGCAGGACAGTACATTTTATCACCATTAACTTTTCTTTTTATTTGTCTTTTTTCTGCTATGGAAATAATAAGATAAGGATAAGACATGTGGCACTTAATATTTATTCAGGAAAACTCAATATGTACTTAATTAAGTGTGTTTTGCTTCTTCGGAGATTTGTTTCAACAGTTACAACCTTCAATTTAAAATGAAAACAATTTGGTTCAAAAACGTGTTAAACAAAACGGTTCGCTGTCTGCACACGGTTTGTGGACTCCTGTAAAAGGGCAAAGAGGTTACATAGTAAAACATAAAGTAGACTATGAACTTCCTATCGATTTGTTCTCCTTACGTGGCTACACAGTGTCAACATAATGGCGATCTAGGTAATTGCACAAACGAACACTAGTCTTGCATACTGACAAGAGTATCGAGAAACATGTCTGTCTGTTCAGTCATTCAAGCACCAGGTAACCTCTTTCACAGTAATATTGTTACCATAATACCCCCAAACGAGTTATAATGTGAAACCTATATTAATCAATTACACCATTTGTCTTGTTGACTGGTAGACCGCCTGTCTACAGGCGTAGGTTGAGATAAGATGTCCTGCCATTTTCTCTGAAACCGTAGTCTGCCATCCACAGACGAGGAAAGATCTACCTAGTTCGTTAGTTCTACACATAAGGGTTCTCGTTAATAAATATTATGTAAATAGGTTTCTATTTACGTTTATAACCTTAAGTACATCTTATATATCAGGTGGAGTAACGATAGTTTCCCAGCTCTAAAATACGACATCATCCCCATAAACATCTTATTAGGTATCTTGTACTATCAGAACTGTATTTGGTTTTTATTTTATTTTCGCCTGTGTGGAGAAAATTCATTTGCCCTGCATTTGAAAATTCGAGCTCCTTGTACTGTTTGACATGTCGGTGCCTCTTAAGCAGTACTAAACAAAGAAAAGCGTAATTACAAATCACAATATCTAAGTTATTACGAGTGGTGTAAAACCACTGAGGTCACAACCTCTTGTAACGTCGGTATTCTTGATTGTAGTTTATGAAACTTGGGTTGTCCTGTTATAACTAAATGGTTTAATCGATGCTATTTACAAGTTTTATCAAGTATCTTCATTACTTGAAATAGCCATTTTTATATTCCCAAATTAATTTCTTTCCATTTTAACATCGGTCTAATAAAAGATAAAATCAGCGAAGCATAAAAGCAACAGACAGGTAACAGCCCTTAGTTTTAATTTAAAGTCCCCTGAGTAGTCACGAATGGCTTACCTTATCTGGAGCAAGCGTACTTGGCGTTGGACGGCTGACACTAATTTTACTGGTAATTATAGGGAAAGGGTCTAGAAGACAAATAAATTCACGTTTATATTGCTTCCAGCCTGCATGGAAACGCAAATTGACTAGGAAGGCCTGTAGTTCTTTGCTGCGCCGTGGTTTTGTCGCATCCTGTAAAATTAAATGGAAGTTTTTCAGGTTGCAAAACATTCAGTGGCAAAAGCAAAACATGGTGAGGTAATTGATAATAATTTTTGTCGAAATGCTCCTTTAAGCTGTGGAACATGCTGGTCGTCACACCCATATAGTTATTGTAGGGAAAAGCTAGACAATAATGACTTGATACAATCGTAAAGTACATTTCAGTGTTTCTCAAACGAAATGAGTTAACCTCAATTGGTATCGTTTCAACGTTTGATTAGTACATTATGGTAAAAGTATTTGAAAAGGGTAATTTTAATAGGTTTTATATCCAACGAAATATACTTTAAATAAAATGCTTTTCAGTTGCAGTAAATCAAAATTTACTACGTTTTTTTTATGATATTTTGTTTTCAATATTTTATTGCATCAATTATGAATTGATTGGATATTTACAATAAACTTGGTTTGATAAATGTTCCACGGCTAAAAAGTAGTTCTTTTTATGCGGGACTCAAAAGTAAAATAATATTGTAATTGATATGTTGTGCTGTAGGACAAATAAAGGCATTCGATTGGCTAATAGTAAAGTGATGTGATTGGATAGCAGTCAGTCCAACTCAGGGTTTCAATAGAGGTTCCGACAGAGAAAACGCTCAAAGTAATACGACAGGGACTACGCATTGCCATTGGATCCGTGGACCACAGATGGCCAAACGCCCATTTGACTGAAAGGAACTTTCAGTCGGCTAGCAAGTCAAGGCCTTAATTTCAATAAGAGGACAATAAAAGCCAATTATGCCCTCACTTCAACTTAACATCTAAAAATCGGTGAAAGTATATGTAACCCAGGAAGCCAGCCAGCTAAAGAGAAAAAAAGGCTCTCTCTTTTTCTAGCAGCTAAATAAGGCAAACCACCTCTAGATTAAGGTTAGCAGTGACCAAACTGCAGAATGTAAGATCGA